GTTTCTTAAAGAGGCTGAAATTAACGTGGCCAAACACAGCTGATTTCTGGGACCTCTAACTGATGTACTCTTTTTTTGACTTGCACAATGTTAGCATGCCCAGAGGGGTTGGGTTTCCGGCTGACCTTGGACCCCTAGAGGTTTCTTTTCTCCTTACAGAGGAGTTTTTGGTTCCTGTCCTCCGTTGTCTTCTGGCCTTTTCTCTTTCTGTATTGTAACGTCACGTACCGTCACGCAGCTTTGTTAAGGGCCTTGGGGCAACCTTGTTGTGAAAGGCGCTATATAAAAATGTACTCAAGGCCCTGAAAAGGATTTCCTCACCTTCTACTGCTTCCAAGAAAATGGCTCAGGGGCGGATGGAGCACTGAAGCCCACTGGTGCCAGCACGTGACCTCAGCTCCTACGACGCACCACACAGATTTGTGGTGCCAGGAGATCAAAGGACGTTGGGCCACAAGCCCGTCCACTTCTTTTCACACGTTCCTGGCAATCTGCTCCCAGGACATTAAGGGTTTTGTTTTCCTATGCGCTTTCAGGTCTCGCAGTCATGGACGTGGAATGTGAGTAATTGCTTCAACAATGCACCAATTGCTGTGAGCCAGCTGTGAATCACGGCCAGTCTCACACTGCGCCGTTTGTGAGGGCGCGCGGCCCAGGACAGGGCTGTCGGACTCCGGACTGGAAAGGGGGCGAGGAGCTGGGCACCGACGTCCCCGAAGAGCTGAAACGGCTCCGGCCCGCTCTGCAGAGAGGCGAATGACTGAGATTAAAACGAGCAGTAACGTCTCTCGTGCCCCCTCTCTCCACCCACCCAGAACCAAGAGGCCTCCTCCGCCGAGACAGTCACAAGCTTAGAAAATGCTCTCTTCAGGGTAAAGAGGTTAACAGGAAGCCCCAGAAGTAGATAAAACTGTTTATGAAAAGGGCTGCAGGAAATGAATTTGGGAGTTGTGGACGGACGTTCACTCATTTGGATGAAATATGAGAGAGAAAAAAAAGCATGAAAACGTGGAAGAGGTCAGATAAAACCTATTCAATTACGAAGAAAAGATGCACAGCTCAAATTTTTAAAGGCCAGTTGATTTTCTAAACGAAATTTGTGAGCACCCTGTAAACAGTACAGCGTCTGCTCTGTCTATACAGTTGTTTCCGCACGTATTCATACCTGTAACACGTGACTGAAAGTTGAATTAGACGAAAATGCAGGTGTGCATAATTTTAAAAATGTAAAAAAAGTCTAGTTATCAGTATAATAACAATGTTACACAGCACCTTTAAAAGCAGTATAATGATAGGGCTTTAACAATACATTAAAACAGCATTGCTGTGCATTTAGAAAGAGAATTTTACAAAGCAAGCAGTGAGAACTTTTCAGAAATGGGTGAGGGTTTTGGGATATCAATAACCTAACTGCACTCCTGACTGACATGCCAGCACGTCTCTAAATTCTGTAAAAACAACAAAGTAAAAATGTGTCCCCTTCCCAGAAGCCCGATTTGGTGAATCCCCTGTTGGCGTACGAGAATTGAGACGGGGCTTCCCGACAGATCCACCAGATTCTTCTCAGGAGGGCGTTGTTACACCAGCGGGCTCTAGGGTTCTCCTCGTTTCAGCTCACACCCCACATGACCCGCCGGAGGCAGTGAGGGCTGCCCAGTCAGCCAGGTGACCGGGGAAACTGGACCCTGTGCAAGTACCAAGAGACTGGGAGCTACAGGTAACAAGCAGTACGTAAAATCCACAGCCAAAAGTCCAAGAACCGGCCGCATTCAGAAACCAGGAAGGCAATCCGAGGAGAAACAACACCTAAAGTGGAGGAACAGAAAGAGGAGAGAACAATGGAAGAAAGAAGAACAGGACAAGGAGATGATACAGGACAAGAGTAAGGAACCAGACAAGAAACAGGATGCGAGAATGAGGAAAAGCAGGTAAGTAACAGTTCAAACCAGAGGTCACACGACTGAGCGCTGAAGTGCATGACTGTACTGTTTATGTAGACGCACAGTATACACACGCTTGAAGAAGGCTCCACAGGCAAAACGCTGTGTCTCTTTTCTATTCCTTTCAACACAGAAGAAATCTACACCTGTTCCTTCGTAGCCCACGCATGCTGACGCAGCTCACCCACTCGAGCTCCTATTTATATAGAGCCTGGGATATGCGGAGTCCTACGTACACTGAGTCATTCTGTGATTGGCTAAGACTGAGCGCAGCCGTCTGCGCAGTCTGAGCCTCAGCTGCGCAGCCAGGCAAGCGACCAGTGTTCCATGAGCTCTCAGGTGGGCCAAATATGTGCCAAAGCAAACTGGTTTTGGTCAGTCCATAGACAGCCGTGTTGAGCAGAGTACCAGAGCTTAGAGGCCTCTTTCAAACCGTCTGTTCCAAAGACCCTGAAATGTAATAGTAACGGAAAAAGAATGTATGCAAACGTGTGCGTGTTATTACAATGTACGTGTACCGATTATTCACAGAAAATGAGAGGTTAGGTAATACAGCGGATTATTACATCAATCTTGAAACACGCTTGAGAAAAAGCCATTTATTAAAGGTAATTAGACAGGTAGCTTCTTCAATCTTTACTGCTTTACTGGTGGAAAAATAAACAGGCGACATTGAGAAAGAAGAACATCTATTTCATCGAAAATAAGAAATAACCATTCCATCTCTTATTTACAGTTTAATACGGCTCTCGAGTTTCGTGCTTCCCTCTCCATTAGATCACGAACTCTGGTCAGGTCGACATAAACCTTTGCAAGCGTAGGCGAGAGCGCTTTCATAAAAATTCTTCTATCCTGGTGGTTCCATAAAAGGTCTGGCCTTGCTCGCCGGACTGCCACTAGAGGTCGCCAGACACACAGATCTGTGCAAAGAGGAGGCTCACCTACTGCGTGATAACGTGACTGAGCTGTCTCGGAATGCAGAATTCTCGCGTGGGTTTTGTGTACATAAGGGGGTGGTAGGTGGGTAAAAGGGGAAGGCAGGAGTACTGTTGTTATTGTCGTTGGAGTACTTGCTGGGTGGCAGTAACAACTACCCTCTCTAAAGCTTGTTATCTGTGATTAAGATGGATTGTTGTCGTTTTTGTTGTTCCCCACCGGGATGGGAGGCCTCCGAGGAAGGCTAGGTTGCGCCTATGAGTGTTGCTGGTCTACCAGTAGGTGGCGCTCTTCACTCTTGACCAAAGCTTCCAAACCGGTGCCCTCCCATCAATGAACTTGGGTATGCTCTGAGATGAAAACCGCTATATAAACGCAAGATTTCTTCTTCGTGTCTTGGGGGGTGGAGATTTAAGTGTGGAACGAGCACAGTCCACACTTTGACTTGTTGCCCAGTCTTGATTTATGAACCGTCACCCCTAAATACATATAGACCTCTATGAGCGCCCTCGGTAATACAAATTACCACACGCCAGCGGAATTGTGTGCACACGGGGTAAAAAAAGAGGTGCATTAATCAAAATGATCGAGACAGCGTGCGATATTTAATACACAATGGTAAATACCGGACTGCGAGACGAGAGGGGAAAATAGCACATAACCGATTAGAGAAACGTCGAAAAGAAAGGACTGAGGCAGAAACAGAGCCAGAGCTATATCTTTGCTTGCCAGGTGTAGGGCGAAAGAAAAAAAAGAAGCAATCATTTCGACAGAAATGTAATTAATAACCTCGTTATGCTCAATGGAGTGCGAGTATTAGTGGTGAATTTCACAAAGCCTTTTTCACTTCCATTTTCAAATTAGCATCAATTTTAACTTAAACCCAGATTAATTACTGGAAACATGACATAAACTGGATATTTTTTCATTAAAGTGTAATGAAAAGTTTCCCCTTCTACAGCAATCTGAGAGCTGGAGTTCACTGCGGCACTCATCTGAACAGACTTCCTGCCATCCCCATGTCTAATGACGATTCGGATAACGTATTCTGTCGATTTACCCGTAAAAATGTAATGACAAATGTATCTGTACAGCCTTATGCTCTGAAATAATAACGGTGAAAACCGTATAAAACACCTTCCTCCCGCCACGCCGTCCTATATCCGTTTGTTTACTTGACAACCAAATCGTTTTCGACATATCAAGTATTTATCATGAAATAAAACGGACGAGAAGGCATGAAGGGGAATTTAACCCCGCCAAAAAAACATTTTAACATGTTCAATGGAAATGCCAATACCTTTCACTGTATCGCACCAGTACCCCCACACGCCGCCTGAGCACGTTTATTATCCCGGACTAGCCCGCAGACACGAGTAGGCGAGAGTCGGGGGGCGTCAAGTACACATTTACACCCCGGGACAGGACAGAGGGGGAGCGGGCCGATTGTGTAGAGAGGTTTTCCTGATGTTTAATCTTGTTACAGGGCGCAGTAAATCAGAGCGCCACCCAATCTGATCGCTTGATAATGAGGCGCGTCAAAGGAAAGGTAACGATTTAAAAGAAACATGTCGTTTGTTGTTGTTGTTGTTGTTGTTTTTGTACCACGTTGCCAGCTCGCTAAGCTGTTTCCGGGCAAAGCAGCCCTTGTTTTACTGCGATATACTGGAGTTCTTGCCCCAGGTTTTCGGAGGGGGGGCACTGGACGACTGCGGTCCCGCCAACACGAGCGACCTCCATATGGCCCGAAATGATTCAGGAGCGTCTCAATCGCAGCCCACGTTGGTGTATAAAAGCCACCTCTCTTACGGGGACCCCGCGGAGAGGACGAAGAAGCGTCTTCACACACGTAGCCTGGAAGTCTTGTCCTCACCCCGTCACCAACATTTCCCAACATCGGTGACTGTAAGAGGGTTTTCCCCCCCCAAATACTAGGGCAGTCCCAATCCCCTTTAATCTCCCGCGGATTAAAAATAAAATCACTTTAAGAATTGCGGGCGGCGGGGCGGCCGCGCCGTTTGGAAGCCCAATGAGATCGCGGCAGAGCCGGAGGCAGACCTGTCCGCTCAGTGAGGGAGGCACGCAGACTACCTTCCTGGGCTCGCTTCCTTTCTCCGCTCTCTCTCTCTCGCTCTTCTCCCAGCCCTCCGTGTAAACCGATCTCCTCCCGGCTCAGCCTTTTGTACTGGAAAAGAAGGGGGTGGAGAATACATTCCCCCCAGCTTTCAGCCTGTGTCTCCCTCTTTCCCTTTTTTTTTTCCCGGTTTCCTGTTGCGAAGGGGCTCCGGAGCGGATGTGAGCGGCTCTCACAGGTGTGTCTGGCGCGGCGAGCGCGGAGTTGCGAGAGAAGCACACCTGGATTCATCATGTGATCACCGTACCTGGGCGTGGAGTTCAGTCTTTGCCGAGTATTTTCCAGCCTTTAGGATCTTTTTAAACAGTTTCCCCCCCCACCTCCCTCCTTCCCGGTTCATGTGGATTGTTTTTCCCACCCCCCGATTGAGTCTTTTCCAGGGATTTTGTTTTCGTCTCTTCGTAGTTCTGATGCGTAAGATGTGAACTTTTTGTTCGCCACCGACTGGATATATTTTTGATATTTTTTTTTTCGGAGGGGTGGGTCGGTTCTCGGGGCTGGGGATTAAAGAGAATCCGGATTTGAGGATCGTGTTCAACTTCTGCGCTTCAAAGGTGAGGAGTTGTTTTTTTTTTTCTTCTTCTTTTTCTCTGACATCTGCCTTCTGCCGACGGTGTGTTTTGGGCCGGTGATTGAAGAGGCGGCCGGCGGCTCTTGTGATCCAAACGCTGTGTTAAAACGACGCCGAGGTCGTGTTGTCTGTGCCCTATGTACCCTCCGTCCGCGATTTAAGAGGTAGGGAAAACATCCATCGATGCCCTTGGCTACGTACTTCCGTGGAATACAAACGCTGATCGATGTGGTCTTGGATGTTGTGAAATAAAACAGATTGCAATGCCTCGCTGTGGTACTTTTCGTCTGAAGTTACGGGCTAGCAGATTTTTCAATTTCGGTTTGAACCGCAGTGAGTGACGCCGGGGTTTTCTCCTGATTATATCGAGGCATTTTGTAGCGACTTGAGTTGGGAACTAGTGAAATATTTCGTAATACTGTAACTGGTGCGCCGTGGCTGTGCAGTGAAACCCCCTCGCGTAGAAGAGGTAAGTCAAGTGGGTTAAACCGACATTTAGTGATCGTAACGTCGTGTCGGGAGTTTTTGCTAGGAGGTAGGTAGGAGCGTGGAGGCTTGGTTTAAGAAAGGGGACTCTGCCGTGTTTTAAGGCGGTGCTGCTGTGTGATCTGACAGGCTTAATTATGCAAATATAATTCCGAGGAAAAGGGACAAAAATACACTTCGGTCGTGTAACACACGTATTTTAGCGAGGTGATCTGGGAGTGGCGAATACAGCTCTACGGTCTGTTTTTTTTTCTTTAGGGATTCCTTGCGGCGCGAAAGCGGGATTTCGGTCGTGCCAGCCGGAGAGAAGTTCTCCTTCTTTTGGGTTAGAGGGAGTCGGCTCTGCTGCTCCCCGGGAGCGGTGCTCAGTTCTCCGAGCCGCGTAGTATCACAGCCCGAGTATCCGGGCATCTGAAACTAGAGCAAAGTACATCTGTCTCTTTTCTAGTTTCGTAGTTTGTCTGCCGGCGTGATTTCAAGGCAGAAGGAACTGGAGGCTCAAGGTTGCGGTGTGT